CTTTAGTACTAAACAATTTTAAAGTAATTCTTAACAGCGCTGCACTTCACAGAGATTCGTCTTTTGTTTGATATACCTTTCTTCAGTTGCCTCAGCATAGAGATGGCAGCAGTAGGAGTACAATCTAACTTATGGAGCACGCGGTAGGCTATATAAAGCGAAGACACAGCTGCACACTAGGGCACCCATTTTGAGTTTCGAATTTATGTTATTGTTGTATACCAATAACAAGCACCCTTATAAGAGCTATTATATGGGGCAAACTTATTCGTCGTCTCAAGGGTGGCCAAACTCAGTTGTAGTCTTAGAAGCAAGTTTCCCAAAGAGAAATTTCTGGAGTCTGATGAAAATTCCAACAGTACGGATACAATGCTGGACTTTTCATAGGGAAACAGTATGTCTGCGGTTTATACTGCAGTTGTAAAACTATTTTATGTCACTAAGTGCTATACGACACTACGTAGGAAGAAATCCCTCGCAGTAGATTTCTTTCGAAGATAAATCTTTGAAAGTATCTTTTCCCGTTATAGAACAATAAGAGACAAATAATTTCCTTTGGAAGGATATAAGAGCCAGCATGATACTTTCAATGAGAAAACACACTTTCATTATAACATTTCGACGATGATAAAATTTTTCTAAACACAAGAAATGTATCTCTTATGACAGATATTTCAATAAAGGAAGAAGAAAATCGAATGGCAACCATTAAAAACGCTTTTGTTGACAATATTTATTTCAAAACAAGAGCGCTGAGCTATAAGACATGAGAACATTAGAGCATATAACACATCACTCTTTACGTCTCTGGTCTAGCTAAAAAAAAAATATAGATATTCGACTCCGCCTTTTTTGTAGAACGATTTGTCTTCGCTTTTAAAATATGCCTCAATTTCGGAAAATTAATTCTTCAATTGAGCCAAATTCCTTTCAATGGAGCATCCTTTTGATGTCTGCAAAACGCCAGTAGTCGCTGGGAGCCAGATACGAAAAATACGGTGGGTGAGAGAAGCAATTCAAAGCGTAATTCATTCAATTTAACCATCGTTTTCATCGACTTGTGATACGGGTATTGTCTTGGTGAAACAGCACCTTTTTCTTCGCATGTGAAGCCACTTTTGTCTTAATTTCTATACTCAGTCGATCCAATAATGCCATGTAATATTCCCTAGTGACAGTTTTATCTTTCTCAAGATAGTCTATAAGGTATTTCTCCCGCTTTCTTAGCAAGCCTTCGTGGAGTAGTGGTCTGAAAGCTCAGCGCGTAATTGAGAGGTCCGCGGTTCCATTCCCGGCGAAGGCGTTGCATATTTTTCATCTCTCCTGCTTCCAAAATACCTAATGTCTCTACAATGGCGCCCGAACTAAAAAAGGGTACTGGATGATGATTCTCCTCACCCAGGATTTGGAGATTGGGTCCCCTAAAAACCCCATTCGCCCTTTAAAAAGGGGAGTATATAAGGTATTTCTCTCGCCTTCGTGGTGTAGTGGTCTGCACGCTCAGCGCGTAATTGAGAGGTCCCGCGGTTCGATTCCTAGCGAAGGCGTTGCATATTTTTTATCTCTCCTGCTTCCAAAATACCTAATGTCTCTACAAGTCGATGAACAAGATGACATGCGCGTCCCAAAGTACGGATGCCATAACCTTGCTAGCTGACTTTTGAGTTTTTGGTCGCTTTGGACGATTTTCACCGGCTGTTTTCCACTCAGCTCATGATGTTTTTGATTTAGGTGTTTAGTAGTGGATCCATGTTTCATCCATTGTCACGTGCCGATGCAAAAAATCTTTTTTATCTCGCTTGTTGCTGTTTTTGGTTTATGGTGAGCAAACGCGAAAGCAAATTACTTATGCTCGAAGTTTTGCGTAAAATTGTAAACACAGTACCTTCTGATGTCTTTAAGGTGTAAGCTATCCCCCGCCACTTCAGTTTACGGTCTTTCAAAACTGTTTTGTGAACTTTTTTATGTTTTCCGAAATAACTGCCGGTTTTGAGCTACCAGAGTGGTCAGTATCAGGTGCTTGTAAGACCGCGTTTAAATTCAGCGTACCAGTCAATGATAGTTGATTTTCCTGGTGCAGAGTATCCATAACATTTATCAAGTCACTGTTTGGCTTCAACAGTATTTTCCCCATCAAAAAACAATGTTTAATCAACACGCGAAGTTCTTTTTTTATCCATTTTAAGAATTTCATACCTGAGGTCACTAAAACCATTATAACCTATAAACTAATTATCAGAATGTCATGAAATTTTGATATGTATCGTTTGAAGGATGATACTATCTAGAAATCATATAGGTCTATCAAAAATGTTGCCATATGTATGTCAGATAGGAGATTTATTGAGTTATCTTTCCGTTAACTAACTGTTTGGGACGTGTTGTCCTATAACAGAACTGTCTTTTAAACATTATTATTTTTCTCGTTCGCAATTGTGATACCTACATCGATTTCTTTTGAGAGAGATCCCTTTTTAACCGTTCGCTTCATTTGTAGTAAAAGAAAATTGAAATCCGATGTCTATAAAGCCGAGATTCCTGACAGTTGGATCTCGTTTTAACAGTAATTTGCCACAGACGTTTAGATATTTTGTATAAGATGTAATTTGTATCTTGTTCCTTATGCAAGGAAAGCAGCCAGAACATCAAGAAGGATCGTTAATCGCCACCGTACCGCCGAATTCTAAGGTAGTTTTTAAACATATTTTTTATATTTCCCCCTTACAACATGTACCATTCATTAGATGTAAAAAGAATCATTAGTATTGTAAAAATATAGACTGCTTACTAAGCAGACAGGGTTCATAGCCACATTTTAGTTAAAAAAATAAGCACCTATAAGCACTTTTCAAGCACATTTTAAGGAAAAAATAAGCACCTGTCTAATTACATCATACACAACTGCATAACCTTAAAGAAAAATTAGACTTGTATTTAAAATATGAGCTATGCAATATTTATTAAGAGAATGAGCATTACCTCAACAATGGAAAACAATTAACTTTTTTTTTAAATTTTAAATGACAGTTCAATTTACAGAATTAGTTTACAATGAGAGAAAAAAAACTATGCAATAATAAACTATATTACAAAATTTAATGATGATATTTCAGTTGAAAATATAGAAAATAAATAATAATAAGCCATTTTAATTGTATTCGTTTGGCACCTAATAATAAATACAATTTATTTTTCCACTCATATTAATATTTAAATAATTTAACTTAAATCAAAATTCTGAACATTTTCTAAATTTTCATTGCATAACAGTTTTCCCTTAACATATATCCAAGCAAAGTAATTTAAGTAATAAGAGGCACATTTCTGAAATCAGAAGACAGGAAATTGCTTCATTCAGTCATCCTTTAACAGTAAAAACTTAACTAACCCGCATACTCGAAATTCCCGAATATTCCGGATAGTAACTGGAAAAAGAGGAGTGGGGGGAGTTGTAGCTGTTCTTTAGATTTAAATTTAAGCTAAATAAATATTTTGACATTTCAATATGTGCATCACATAAAAATAGACCAACGGAAGTGAAAAATATTCGGCTTAGAAAGCACAGTAAAACTCTTTTAGGTGTTGCATAAACAAATCTCAGACTGAACATCAAAATTAATTATCTTCGCAAAATACCGCAAAAGTTATTGCGCAATATGTTATTGCGATAGTGCAATACGTTATTGCGCAATACGTGCGGCGTAATTCTTCCACATGTGATATTACGCAATCGGAATCAACAGCTACCGGTATTCGGAGAATAAAGAAGTAAATAAAAGGAAAAGAAAGAGACTTACCAATCTGGGGAGTTTCTGATTCTAATTTTCAACAGACTGCGTTAAATTTCCGGAATAGAATCAATCTTCGCTTGGGTTGGGTAGACCGCAAAAACTTTTAGTCCTATTCAATCCAGATTGGACAGTGACCAAAAAAGGTCCGCTGCTTGCGGAGAAACTCCCAACCTCCGTACTGTATAATGTATTGGCAAAGAAAATGAAATTATTTTGACTATTCGATTACTATCCTTTTATTAAAGCCATTCCGAATATTATTCCTTAGAAAGCTAATCTGTGTAAAAACACACCCATTTTTGGAAGTTTATCTATACTTCAGCAGTTACTGCAACTATACTATTATAAATATTCATACATATACTCATAATATAAGCATAACGATCATAATAAACATGAATATGAACTGACCAAGCAGAACGAGAATGCAAATTATTAAAATCTTGATAGAAATAGTATTTGGGTGGGAGGAATTCTCGCGCGCACCATAGGTTACGTAATGCAGAGAAAGGGGGGAAAAAGCGATTTCCGGGAGTATGATTCACCATCTGACGTTGCATATAAGAAAGAAAAGTTGTTTATTTAGTTTCGGCTTTGGTACGGGGAAAAAATGCGCGTTCATTAAAAACAAAGGATTAAAAAAAAAGCACTAAAAGCAAAAAATAAGCACTAAAAACAAAAACAATAAGGGCTTTAAAGAAAAAGTAAGCACCTATAAGGGCCTTTATATTTTATTTTCAAATATAAGGACTTATAAGCACTTGTAAGGACCGCTACGAACCCTGAGCAGAACTATTATACTCGTAAATTAACTACTTTTAAATATATAACTGATTTTATTTTATTTAAAAGAAACTAATATCTTTACACACCTGCACCTATCAATTTGCTTCAGAATATATTATATAACTCATAAAACTAACAGAATAAGTGAAAAAAATTGCTTAATAAAATTTAAGCGTTCATACGTATAAAATTAATTGTAATCTTAATTTTCCTTAAGATCTTAAGTTAAATGTAAAATTTCATTTTAATGAAATGTGAAATGGAACTGAAGTAAAATCTTGAATGATAAATGCAGTTACATTTCAAAATCTATGAAAACATAAAATACTTCTTTGCTCATAACATTCATATAAAATAATATCTATGTTATTATATTGCAAATTACTTTTAATATAATCAAATAAAATGTACTCATTGACTTACCTAATGGAAGCTTCTTTCCCAATAAATCATTCTCCTTCAAAAATTGTTGAATGCAATCCGCCAAAAATTCGAAAAGCTACAGATAAAGAGCATATACATGTAAGTCATCTAATGAGTAACTATAAACTTTTCTCTAATTCTAAAAACATTTAAAGACATAAAACGCTTTCAGAAACCTAAAAAAACCAGCAACGGTAATAATCATTACTTAAATTACAAATAATCTAAATGAAACGGAAGATATCCATGTCTTAGCTAGATATCAGATGGCACTAAATAAATTAAATAAATAAATAATTCGCATTTGCTGTAGATAGAGAACTTTTTGCTGTAGATAGAAATGCTGTAGAACGCATTTGCTGTAGATAGATAGCTGAAAATTCTTGAATTGTCCCCAAGCCCGCTATTAACAGCTTATCATTTCAGTTGTCTTTACAATAATCTTAAGAGTCTGAATGAAAGCTTTTGAAACTAAAAGCAAAATGTAATTCTTATGTATAACACACTTCTGTTTCTATTGTCTTCACAAAATTTATTTTGTATTTTACGAGATGTGATACACATACCTAGATATGTTGTAGAGACATTAGGTGTTTTTGGAAGCAGGAAAGATGAAAAATTAACAACACCTTCGCCGGGAATCAAACCACGGACCTCTGGAATACCGGCCCAGCTTGCAGACCACTACACCACGAAGGCACGCTAGGAAAGCGGGAGAAATACCTTATAATGTTACATAAAAAATGTCTTCTCTCACTGTTACTAGTAACTACGCTATAGAACTACCTGTGCTTGAATTCTCATTACATCTTTGGGCAGGATTCTGAAACTATGCTACATGTGGCACTAGAAGTTCATTACTATTTCTGGTGGCACAAAATTTACTCAAAAATTTTAAAGGAGTTTTCAAAATGAATGTAAAATGGCGCGAATTTAAATCGGAAAATGCTCTTATGACGGTACATGTATTTTTTATTCTTATTTATGAGGTATAAAGTTTAAAACGTTTGAGAACCCTTAAAGTATGGTAATACTGAAGCTCTGCGACCACTCCAGGAAAAGAAAAATAATTGATGAAATTAAAGAATAGAAAGAAAACGTAGAATAAAACTGAAACAAAACTAGAAATATATTGTGAACGGGAATTTTCCCAGTTCAGTTTTGGATCTCCTGAAAGAGACAATGCGTCGTCTGGTAGAGGTGGGGCGATGTAATCGCATCGTTTATATCAGGTATCCAGAAACGTCCGTGCCATAGTTTTCAGTGAAAAATAACAACCGTGTATGTTCGCGCAAATGTATTTTTTTTTCAGCAAAATAATCTCCTTTAGCTGCAATGATATGTTCCCAACGAGTTACAAGATTATAAATCCCTTGTCCCTAGAGCCAAAAAATTGTCCGAAGGCCTTGAGAATGTCAATATCGGATGTCCTCCTGACAGGGTTACCAACACTTGCCGTTTGAATTTGACTTTTCGCTCCAGCGGCACGAGCTTTTTGCATACCTTATAATACGATGAAATGTGAAACTCATGTTTTAAATCCCGTAACATCTTCCCCTTCTCACACCGTGAATAGCAGACATGACCATTCGTGCGGCTGTTGACCTGTTGGGCAAGGATTCTTAGTCGAAGCTTTCGTAAGATTATGTTCGATTTGATTAATAATCCTTTTATTTTAATTACTTTGACTACTTTTTATGGATAGGTCAAGTGCAGATATGCATGTTTTAATATAATTTAGGCACAGTAAGCAAGCTTTTGAATTATGGTGGTAAAAATTTGCAGTTTTAAAATTATCTTCGTAAATAGTAAGAAAAATCTTATATTTCCGTTTCCGGGTCACAGCAAGCGCTTTTGTCTGCATGAAGATGATAAATATTTATCACAAAAATAGAACTTTTAATTTTTTCATTATACTGCTGACCGTTTCATTACTGTGCAAGAAAGTTTTGTAATTTCACTTAGCCAAGAAAAACAGGAAAAACATTCTTTAATTATAAAATGGCAATTCGACGACACTTCAGTTCACAGTTCTTATTAACAACTATCCCGCGGATCTGAAACCATTGATTCAACTACGTTTACAATATCTATTGTACTTCTTCAAAGCGCTATAAAAATAATAAACTTTGTAATATGGAGGCTTCTTAGAAGCAGGCTTTTCAAACTAATGTGTGAAAATATGGGAAGCCACCATGAGTTCCTTAGCCATTGAAATAAGGTGAAATAAGGTCTGAAGGAAAACCGCTGAGACATTTGATGAAGTTACGTGCAGCGGCAAAAGCATATTTAATGGACCATAACTCTCTATTGACTACGGTTGTACTAAATGATAAAGCCTGGGTATGCAAACAAGCATATTTGAGCGAAATTTAAAATCATTTCGTTCATTTTTATGATTCTATTATTGCAGAGAAAAAAATGCCACAGTTTTTTTAATGTAAACATCAAAGTGCTTTCTTTTAACAGAAACTTATGGTTGGAACAGATGGAAAAAGAAGATATCATTAGGTTCTCTCTTACAAAAGACTTCTTGAGCAACATTCAAGAAAAAATATGGAAGCTTTGAAAGATTTTTTTGAACATTATCTTCGAACACCTCAAGAGATCGCACTTGATGACTTTAAATGGATTCTAAATGTGTTGAACATGAATAAAAAAACGCCCAGCTTAAACTCAGCAGAATATGAGGTCTTCATAAACTTGAGACTGAAAAAACAAACTGAGTATATCTCACGGACTGAGAAAGCAAAATTAGTATTGCTGCTTTTCTCACCTACATATCACTGTAAAGTGGGATTTTTCCACCTATACAAGGGTTATTATGAAATTGTTCAGATAGAGCAAAATAGTACATGTTAAACTTACTAAATCTTAGCAATGTTCGAAGTTGCTCCTTCCAACACCAATGTACTTTTAGGCGAGTTTTTCAAAGATTAAATGCTTCAAACCACCCATTTCTTGGAATCGACGAAAAATATGCTTACACAGTCTCATCAGGCTCATCTTCGGAATGAAAGCGACGGCTAATTAAATTTTGGTTTAAATTAAAAAATAGGCAAAAGTCACATGTAGCATGATAAGGAGAATAAGGTGTATGTTTTACACTTTAATGTATTTTTGTTAGGCATTATCAGGGTGAAACATGAGTCATCTAATTTTTCACTTCTTAAAGAATTTTTAAAAGACACTAAGTGGTGAACCAGTCAGCTGTACCAGTCCCTTCCCTCTGACTTGATATGGTTTTTACCAATCATATACTACTGAATTAAAATAACATACATTGCATTTCACATTACATTTTCAACATTGTTGATTTGGATCATCTTTACTTTACTTTCATGACGCGTTAGAACGTCAAAAAATGATATTTACATTTCAACACCAGCTATGATTTTAGAAACAATGCAGTGTTCGAAACATCCTTAAGTAAATTTAGGATTTCTTTACTGATTCTGACACGCTCCGCGTTTTGGTGTGCTGTTAATTTATGAGGGCTCAACTGCAAACTAGTTTTTTTCATATGCAGTTTTTCATGAATAATCTTATCTATAGTTATGGATCTAATGTTATGTTCCTTCTGTTACATTTCTTAGATATAGAAATTATCATTGATTAATATTTTAATTTTAATGACACATTTTCTGGGACTACAGCTGACAAAGGTCTCCTTAAATGCTCTTTATCCAGGGGAGAATTTCCACCTATGCAAAATTCTGTAAACCATCTGAATACAGTGGCATGAGATGGAACTTCATTTCTATATGCTGACTCTAGACACTGAAAGCATCCTTTCTGATTTAGTTTTTGGGGTCTGATTAAGGGCTAGACACCCAATTTAGAAAAACAAATTCTTTAAAAATTTAAAATCATAAGTGTGATTCAGTTCCCTCTTGCTTCAGTTCCCTTTTCATTTCTTTCAAAATTTATTATATGATAAATGAATTGTAACTGTTGCCACAAATTATCGTCTTCGGAATAAAATAGTTCAAATTTATATATCAAACACATATTTTCTTTTAGCTCTATCACACCCTTGTCTAAAACATTTTACAGTTACGGACGTATAAATGTCAAAATGCAGAACGAAACATTCGCCTTCGGTTATCATCTGTTGAACTAAAATAATAAAACTGAGCCAAAACTTACACCACATGTGCCGCATAAAATAATAAAAATAACAAGACACGTGCCGCATAAAATAACAAAACTTATACACATGTGCCGTATAAAATAATACTTATATGTTATTTTATGTTATGTCTTAATTTAGACCTACTGCTGCAATACTGCGCACTCTAGATAATAAAATTAATTTGAATTTGTTTTCTGTAATGAATAATAGCAATTTTGAATAGCAATTAAGGAAAGATTGGAAAGGAATAGCAATTAAGGAAGCATATTTTAACTGAATTAGAGATAATGATTAAACTGAAGTAACTCTGTTTATTACAAAGACCTTTTTTTGTTGCTCAAACCAGTTATTTGTCGTACCACAAAAGAGGTTATTAATGAACTTTGAAATAATGCTTTTGCATGGCAAAATTTTGACAGTACCATGAGTGTTGATGGTAACTGAAACTAAATTGAGATATTAAGGGTAAGTTTCAAAGTTTAAAATTATTTCAGTTAATGGATATTATGCAGTTGTTTAGATATCTCTTTACATTCTTTTACGATCTATGAACTCTTCCTTCCCCTAACACTACTCCTGAACTTAATTAATTTAATAAGATGTGGAGTAGACTTAAGGGAAGCTCGCCATAGAAATTGATCCTAAAAAGAAAGGTCCGTTTAAGACTTTTAGTGGCCTTAAAAGAATTTTGGTAGCCCTACAAAATACATTTACAGTATAAAACCTATTTTCTTTAGATTCTTCCCTCTCTCGGTTTTGATTTAGCTACACTCTAAATTCTATGTGAACAGCAACGAAAATATTTCGTGGTGCCCCTTTTCCATGAACTCCAAGAACCTTTTTGCGGTGACCTTTATCCATGACCCCCAAAGACGTGCTTAGTTTGCTGAATGGTTAATTCAGCTCCTTAAAAAGGACTTCGCGAGTTATAATGTTTGAGA